CACAGTTGCACAAATAATGTATTTATTTTCTGTTTCCTGTCAGGGTGGTTGGACGACATCGGTCTTCCTCAGTATAAAACCCAGTTTGATGAAGCCAGAGTTGATGGTCGAATGCTTCACTATATGACAGTGGTGAGTTTATGTGATAGATTTTACTTTGATGAAAGTAAAATTTGAGGAACACTTGAGGAAGTGCAGCAAAACGATTTATTGACCTCATTTTTTGACAGCAGTCAAAGCTGTAATTTAAAGAACGCACCACAGATGGCGCTGCTGCCACCTGATATATTTGATGTTTCTGTGCTTTGTCTACTCAGTGCATGAGTGACATAAAGATTTTATTATATAGAGAGTAGATCTGACTTTAGTAAAGGGTGTTTGCATTCAATTTTGCGACAGCTACAAGGGCCTGATATTTTATAGAAACTGCTGCTGTATCCTCTTGAATTCTTCTGTAGCTGGGGTTGCATTTTCATGCTGTTTTATCTGAAAGCTAAAACTTATAAACTTCTAAGTTTATAAACCGAACCATTGGTTTCTCTGTCCGTTAGGACGACCTGCTCTCCCTGAAGGTGGGAAGTGTCCTGCATCACCTCAGCATCAAGAGAGCAATTCAGGTTCTTCGACTCAACAACTACGAGCCCAACTGTTTGCGCCGCAGACCGTCAGATGAGGTACACGTCACAGGTCAACATTATCTATAAATGAGGAGACGGGTGGAATAAACCTGCTTATTTTAGTCAGAAAAAAATATGAACATAAAGATAATGCAGTGAAACATCTAATCAACCACAGGCTTTATTTTGTTTTGAATAAACTGATTTTGATATCAAAGCTGTTTATACTTGAAATTTGAAAAATACAGCAATATTATCACTTCTGTATTATGTTGTTATGATTGTGTTCAGAGTTGAAGCAGTGAGATTGCCTGCTATTTAAAAGCAATAGATGAAAGTTCAAATTTTATTTAGAATATTTGATATAAAATGTATGAAAATAAATGTAGAAATATTGAAATGGTGCAAAACTGTACATTTCACAAGGCCATTTGAAGCAGCAATATTTGTTTAACCAACATTTTTTTGTGCAATGTCTGAGTCAGTTTTCATGTCTTCTCTCTTCTGAGTTTTTTTTCTAATGCACATCTGAAAATGAACATCTATGTTAGTTTCTAGTTTACTTATGTTGTCTCTGCATTTGGTTTGTAGAACAACATTTCACCTGCAGAGATTTCCCAGTGGACCAACCACAGGGTGATGGAGTGGCTTCGATCTGTCGACCTCGCCGAGTACGCTCCCAACCTCAGAGGCAGTGGCGTCCACGGAGGCCTGATGGTGAGAAACTCTGACTTCTCTTCAACGTGCGAGGCAGGATATGACCTCAGACCTGTCCACTCCCAACACGTGTTTGTCTGTTCAGGTTCTGGAGCCCCGGTTCAATGTGGAGACCATGGCTCTGCTGCTGAACATCCCCCCTAATAAGACTCTGCTGCGTCGCCACCTGGCCACACATTTCAGTCTGCTGATTGGCTCAGAGGCCCAGCAGCTCAAACAGGAATGTCTGGAGAACCCAGACTACACTTTGCTCACTGCCACCACTAAAGTCAAGGTAGTCTTAATATTTCTTCTTTTGTTTATTCACAGGGTTCTGTTTGTAGAGCTGGAAAAAGTTCAAATTTTGATATGTTTTATTATTTTTGTTTCATCCCAGCCAAGGAAGCTGTCATTTGGTAACTTTGGGATGAGGAAGAAGAAGCAGGAGGAAAATGAGGAGTATGTGTGCCCAATGGATGTGGAGATGCCAAAAGGTCGAAGCTTCCAGAAAGGCTTTGAGCTCCAGATCTATGAGGACGACCTGGACAGGTTGGAGCAGGTGAGCTCCTCGCACTAAGATTTTTCAATCATTTTTTTAAAATGTAACTTTAAATTCAAAGTTTATTCAAGACAAATGAACATCGGCTGTTCTCAGACTCAGGATGAGCATGATGCCTAAATCTTGGGATTTGGTCTGGTCACCCTGTGTTTAGTTTTCTCAGTGTAAGTTGAGCGTCCCTATGTGCAGATGGAGGACTCTGAGGGGACGGTGAGACAAATCGGGGCCTTCTCTGAGGGAATCCAGAACCTGACGGTAGGTCGAGGAACATCCACCGACTCAAAACACCCAGTGATCCTTCATTGAGGAACGTCTGGTGTGATGTTTTTATCTGCCCTGTGTTTTTCCAGAGCATGCTGAAAGACGATGAATTCTTTAAGGAGATGTCGAACTCTCCGAACCCCAGCGTAACGGATGAGGAATCCAACGCATGAGAGCGTCTGGGTCAGACCTGATCCTGCTGTGAATGAAACTCTGGGCAATCCCTCTCCCCCTGCACGCTGCACCAGTGAACCCAGCTAATGACCTACATTTCCTTTCAGTGTTAAAGAGCCAAAAGTGTTGCAGCTTCCTCAGTAATACGGAGCGTCATGGCGAGAGCCTTCAGCCCATTCGTCACAGTTACTGATGTCCGAGGAAACACATAGGATGACACCACTGTTTTCCTGCCAGCTGGTTTCTGGAAATATTTTGTACTCTGATATAGAAACTCTGTTTTGATTCTGAGAGCGTCAACCAGCAAGAAAGGCCATGAAAATATGATTTTATATATTTTAATATATGACTTTTAGATGCCTTCTGACTTAAAAAATTGAAAGAAAGACGTGAGCTTTGCTGAACCGAAGAAGTAATGCTGAAAGTAGGTCTAAACGATAACTGCAGCTGCTATGTTTGTTTTTTACACAACTAAACCTTGCTGATTAAACAATAATGGTCTTGTATTTTATCTATTTTATGAAGATTTGTATGCACATGCATTTGCACATACAATACATTCGAATTACCCAGTCTGAAGATCATATCATAGCATGATGTCTGAATTCAACACGTTTGTATTTTACTCTTCATCCTGGAAGGATTTTGGAAACTTGTTGAGTTTTTCCTGCGACCCTGTACTCTGAGAAAATATCATTCTTTGTTTAAATATTGTAATGTGACTCTTTATTATATCATAAGATATGCATTTCTAAACTCAGTTATTGAGCTCAATAAACTAATTTAAGTCAACCTGAGTTTTGTTCCAGGGGACAAAATAAACTACCAAAAACTGAAAGTGTTGCTTATTTTTCCAATGACAACCAAAATATTTCAGTTTTTTTTTTTTTTTTTTTTTTTTTTTTTTTTACTAAAAAATTTTTAAAGGCTTTCAATTTGTAGAATGTGATTTATGTCAATGTTTGTATGGGTATTCAATTACACACAGACTATTCATAATTTCTCCTCTTAATTTATCTGAACTATTTTTAGCATCATGTCCAGAAATGATACATTTTTAGATGGTTGTGTTCAGATTCAGCAGGGTGCACTCTGACTCGATTTCATAGTTGTTGGGCATATTTAATCGGTTTTAAATGAATGTCATTCAGTATGTAACCTGTTTTCTCAGATTACACCTTAAAATGTCACTAGAAAAGTCAGTTCTAACTTATGCATAACTAACATTTTGTGTGTTTTTACAAATTTTGTCTCCTGAAGCATCAACATCAGTTTGCTGTAATTGTAAAACAGCATACAACAGAAAGGCGTGTTTATCTGGGCTCTTCCCTCAGACTAATAAGTAAACGGATGTAGAGGAAATGTGTAGGAAACCACACATTGGTTTATAATCACAATCAATCTTAGGGGTAAATTCTAATCATGAAATTATCCTATAGCACATATCAAATGGGAAATAAATGAGACTGATCACAAAATTGACATGAAAAATTAAAACTACTGAAGCTGTTGGTAATTACAGTAATTGCACAGCGTGTTGCATAAAGTGCATGAAACTTAACTAGAAATTTAGCAAAATGGACATTCAGTTACTATTACCTTGTAGCTGAACAAAGTAATAGTAACTGAAGTCTTTATCAGTTGTTTTCTGGAAATTAAAGTTTTTATTGATAGCTTGGAGTTTTAAAATATTTGAATTAGCTCTGAGATAAATTTGGTCAAGGGGGAAAAAAAATCAAGGTGATCCACCTTTGACCAGTCAGAATCTAACCAGAACTTGCTACTTTTGGATCAGTTGACTGTTTTCTCTCTGGGAACCGACTTTGTTTTCAGATCCGGGCCCCGTCTGCTCTGGGAGGAATCGTTAGCCTCGGCTCTAAAAGTTGTTCTCTCAGCCCAGCTGTGGAGGTCAAACTGCAGATGTTGGTGAATTCTGCCCTTTTGTAGTGGGATCAAGATGTAGGTGACATAAAAAGTAATCCTGATGGATAATTTGAAGATATAAATAAGCTATAACTTTACAAAACTAAGAATCATTTTAAATGTACCTTAATTATTTATAGCCATCATCTATTATGCAGTTTATTTTATTGTCTTGTTGCAAGTGTAAATTCTCAGTTCCAATTTGGTAAAATGCACCATAAATTGATTGATGGAATTCACTGTGATGCATGATAACAGAGACATTGTAAACTGAAACTAAACACATGTACTACCTCACACTAAGTGGACACAACAACCAGAAGCCATAGTAGGAGATGTGTTTAGGTAGTACTACAGGAAATGTATGTTTGATTAAAATAAAAAAAAATGCTGTAGCTCTCTGATACGTTGCATTTGAGGAACATTTAAACATTTAAAAAGCCAGAAAAATAGCCATGCTCGTGTAACTAAGCTTGTCCTTTTGTCTCTTAGGTGGAGGAGGGTTTTGTACCCCAGCCTTCTCTCTCTCTTACTGGTACCACTGGGATTGGTTGCAGTTGTAGTTTATTTCTATTATAATTTGATCTAAGTGTTTCCCATTAAGACCCAAAGGAACTGTTTTGGTAATAGAGTATAACATCAAATGTAGGCCAACAATCTCACGTGAAAGTGGAAATAAAGAGAGAAAAAAACCATATCCTGAAGCAGAGTGCCCCCTGGTGGTTACATGTTAAATATTCACGTCCAGATTCCTCTGTAAACCCCTGTGGAGTGTTGAATACTGGGTATGAGGCTGGACTCAGTCAAACATTAGTGAACAGTCTGCTGTAGTGTGAACTGTAAGTGTAGTGAAGAGTTTCCGGCACCATGGCTGTAAGGTCTGTATAAATATGTATTTTCACTCCTTTTAAATGTCATTGCTGCCAAAAATATTACGTTTTAAGCCAAGAGCGTTGACTGAATCTGTGTGGAATGCAGGCTTTGTGGATTCCTCCTGCTTGCAGTTCTTCTCAGTGGAGTTCATGCATCAAGGTAAAAATCAATAAAAGCATGAGTACATTCCTCATGCATTTGTTTTAGTTTGACTCAGATTTTGCTGTATTTCTGTGGCAGGCCAGCTGTAAACCAGGAGTTATCCAACCTTTTTAACGAGCTCTGGAGGCTGGATGTGAACCGCATGAAGCCTGGGATAGACTACACTATCTCTGTTCAGGTGAGGAGCCGCTTCTGACGAACACAAAACTTTCCTGGCTGTTTTTGAAATCTTCTGTGTCTCACCTCTGCAGGGTAGAGCGGGATTTGTGAACCAGGGCAGCCATGTTGTCCTGGATCACGCCTCACTGCCTCTATTCTCCAACGTTAATGAGAACAAACTGAGGAACACAACCACTTTCTCTCGTGAGTGTCCCATATAGAGCCCTTTGCATGTCTGAGCTGATGTGAAGATCCAGCACATTTTTCTTCAATAAATTATATTTCTGTGCTCTTGCAGTCTTTATGAAACTCCTGGACAACTATGAGCGGTCGACAGGCATCACAGAGCGAGTCACTCCAGAGGAGCTGACCGAGATCAATCTGTTCCTCGATGCTGTTTTGGAGACACAAGTCATGAAGGTGTGTTCAACCAGCTGGATTTAGCAGCCGTCCAAGTTATTTGTTACAACAGGTACATGTTTGTTGTGTTTTCCAGATGCCTAAAGTTTCCCACAGATTGCAGCAAACCGCTTTCTGTTTTGTGATTTGAGGCTGCAGCTGTCTCTTCCTGTCCCTGCAGGAGCTAAACGCTCAACTTCACGGTGTTAGAGTGAAAAATAACAAACAGCTGAAACATCTGTGTGCGGCTGCGGAATGCAAACTTGGCCTCCATGCTGTCCCCAAAGAGGATTTCTGGAAATATTTGGACATTCAGTTCTTAATCTACAAAACTTCTGGCTCTGTTGAGAGTTTGGATTCCCCTTTCTCTATAAGAGAGAGAAGAATGTGGAATGTGATCATGTTTTGATCAAATTAAACATTTGGGGTGAGAAAATATAGAACCAAATCACGGTCAGTTTACAGCTAATGGTACACAACAAAGCCAAGCAGTGTCTATCTGGGGTCATTGACGAATTTATTGGAAAAACTATTAAACAGAAAAACACAAAATGTAGATTAAGCATAAGAAATCAATAATATCAGTTCAGCCTTTCAATAGCTTGAAATCAAACTTGGTGTAGCTATATGGTCATAATGCTTCTTGGTATTGGACTCTAGCCACAGAATATTCTGGTCTGGATCGACGTTTGTTTTGTTCAGAATATTATAAAACTGCTGCTGTTTATGATATAATCAGCAAATGCACATTCTCACAGAAACTTTCATCACTGGTGAATGATTTCACAGTTTATCAGATCACAACCACAAGCTTCAATACATTCTGATCGGATTTCACATGATGGGTCAACACAAAGTTGTGTACAAATGTGAAGTGGAAGGAAAATTATAAATGTAACTCTATTTTCTCTACCAGCTTTAAAAAATTTTTTAAAAAATTTATCATTGTTTACAAAATTGCTCAAGCTCATTCAGGCTTGAAAAGCATCTATAACCATCAGGCATTTTCAACATATTCTCAGCTATATTTAGATCTGGACTTTGACTGGGCCATCATAAGACACAGATAAGATTTGATCTAAGTTGTATGTTTAGAAACATTGAACTTTCGCTCCAGACTCAAATCTTTTGCAGCCACCAACCGTCTCCCCATCACCTCTGAACTTCTTCTTCATCTGTGCAGAGAGAAATGCATCACCACAGCATGATTCTGCCACCAACATGAGACACATGGACGGTAGATTCAAGGGATTTATTAGTTTTGAAGTGCCAGCTATGCTGTGCAGAAGAGTCTGAAAATGTTCAAGGGTTGTGTATACTTTTTGGAGTTGATTTAATTAAGAATCCCCTCAGTGTTTTCCCCCAATAAGTCAGTAAATGTCTCAGTTCTGATCTCTACAAAACTAATACAATATAAGAAAATAAGATATCGATGAAAGTCTGTCAGATTTACCTATCAGCTGCTCATGGTCTCACAAACAGATGCGGTTTTAGGACCCTGCACAGCCTCCTTTGCATTAACGAATGTGATTTCTCGACAGCGCGCTCATCAGTACCTGGTGAGCAAAGGAAAGTCCAGCTCCGACTCGAAGCAGTTTAAGAATCAGCTTAACTTGATCTGGTTCCATCTCTACCACCGGCAGAGAAACACAGGGTGAGGGTCCAAACAACGTCAACAGATGAGTCAACTTTTAAGTCTGAGACCGGTCTGGAAATGCTCTTGTCTTTCATGGCAGACCTGACTCTTGTGGATTTGAACACGTCTTTGTTGGAGAAACCAAATCTGGAACAGAAATAATCGGCTTTCACAACTGGGTCCAGTTCTTCCTGCAGGAGAAAAACAGCCATTTGGACTACAAAGGCTACAAGGCCAGAGACCAGGACTTGGTAAGTTCACTGCATGTGGGAGACATGTTTGTCTGAGGCGCTGTGACCTGTCACTCCCTCCACAGCCTGATCAGGACGACCACGTCCTGAACCTCCAGTTCAGCTGGCACGGTGTGGTGAAGCCCGTCGGCAGCGCCTTCATTGGCACCAGCCCCGAGTTTGAGATGGCCATTTTCACCATCATCTTCCTTATGAACACGGAGCGAAGCACCACGGTGCTGGTCAACATCGACCAGTGTCAGATGGAGCTGGTGGTCATCAGGCAGGGCCGCTGTCTGGGGACGGCGTACCCCAAACTGCTCAGCAGCAACAGCAGACACGTCAGCCAGCACTCGCACTGACTCCAGCTGCAGCTTGAGTGGTCTTTACCTGAAGTGGGGTGGTGAAATCTACATCCAGCAGGAGAATCATAGTCTGTTCTGATTCTAACATGTATCTAAAGCTTTTAATGAAACCGTTCTGATGATGTTCCTGGTGGAACAGGATTTATTTGAAAAAGTGTAACATGTTAAGCTATAGAACCTTATATTAAAAGTAATCGTCAGTGTTGTAGTGATCCAAAAATACTAGTTCGTATTAAAAGAAGCGTGTTAACTGTACAAAGTTATCTTTTAAAGATCATCATTGTCTTTGTATTTAAGGACATTTGATTCCCCTGTTGAAGTTTTCTGGTTGAAGCAATCAGATTTTATTATTTGAAATGTTCTGTTCAACTCTTCAATTCTAACTTTTAAAGATCAAGTCACAACTGCTTTACTTGGATGACATGTTGCTTTGTCTTTCCCATATTGAAGAGGATTAGAGTTAATCTTTCTTGGCCCAGAGAAGCAGGAATAAACGTCAGAACTAAAACCTAAACATATCTGCTTCCTTTCATTTATTTTGTAACTGTTTCATGCGAAATAATTGTAATTTTTGGCTTCTTTTTTTTCCTCATTAGAAAACATTTATTTCTAAAATGTGGATTTGTTTCAGAGCAAACAAATATGGGGTTCTCTTTGTGTCAAAAATAAGTAGAGGTCACACGTGAGTGTACATGTGGAATGTGATATGAACTTATTTCTAGATTAAATGTATTAATACTTAACAATCTGCTGCACCATCCTATCATTCAAATGGCATTAGGCTAAAAATAAAAGAAGAGACTGTGATGTCATATACATTCCTGAAACGCAACTTTCGGTAGTGAAAGTAAAAATGTTGTTTCTTCAATCAGTCACCTTTTTGTTTCATTAGGTCTACAATAAACAGACAGTCTAAACTCTTCCTCTTGCTGACTGCAGATTTGTGATCCAACAACTTTTATAATCAGTTGCTTTAGATCACTGTATAGTTGGTTTGTTTCTAAATAAAATACCTCTTCTTACCTTTCTGTTTTTAAAAAGTGGCTTATAGCTTAATTTTGTTGTTGTTGTTCTTTTGCTGCTCATCTCATAATTTAAAGCATGCTGTTTTCACTTCTTTGCTCCACATTTTCAACAAAGTTGATTTGAGGGCTGTTATTTCAATTGCCCCCATATAAATGTTCTCAGACTGGGTAAGTAACCACAGATCCATCCAGGGTCCTAAATGTGACCCTGGATGTTTTCCTTTTATTCTACCAAGAAAAAGAAATAGTTGGAAAAAGCAATGATATATTTAATATTTTTGTCTAGTTGAGGATTGTCTATGTTTGTCTGTGTGATTCTATTATATAATACATTATTATGGAAACTCAAAATACTTTTTTTTGATTGTTCAAACTAGTTGCCGAAACTTGTTTCCAACAACTCTTGGCCGAATTGGCGTTTTTGCAAACCAGTAAAAATTAAAACGTAGAAGAAGAATTAATTCGAAGCGGAACGCAGTCTTTAGTTCCGCCCACCTCGGAAGGGACATTTTAAGAAGTAACACAGTCGGGACGCATGTTGTGGAGACTTCCGATTCTTTGCTCCAGCTCGGATTTCTTTCCAGTTTTATGTGCTTACTGGTGAAGAGCAGCGCGACTCATGGAGCTGCTGGGAGGAGAGTTTGGAGACATGACTCCTCAGGAGCTGGCGGCTCCTGTCAACACCGTGACGGTGAGTTTGAGGACAGTGGGAGACATGGGTTTCCACCACGAGCACCAGGGTGGTGTGTGTGATGAACTGGCAGAGAGGAGTCAAAAAATTAGTTCACATCTGAACACAGTGTCCATCAAATACACACAATAAAGTTGAAGAAAATATATTTCTGGTTTATTTGACAGGAAAAGTGGAAATTGCTCCCAGCCTTCCTGAAGGTAAACCACCATAACAACTGCATTCATGCGCTTTTCACCCCTGGACAAGCTATTATCTACAAGAAAGTTTAATTCTTTTTGTTTAATTACATTTCATGTAGTGTTTGATATTTCCCCTTTACATGAATGTAAATTAAGTCTGTCCCATTGCATAATGACCTTAGATCTGGTCAGTTTAAATGATGTTCATTTGAAAAGACTCAAATTGGTCCAATCAGTCGTGTTGTATTTTTCTTCTCTTACAGTTACATTTATTGACTATGTTATACTTCATTATTGATAATGGACCAGATTCATTATCTACCTCATCTCATTTGCTCTGCAGGTGAAAGGTTTGGTGAAGCAACACATCGACTCGTTCAACTACTTCATCAATGTTGAGGTGAAATTAAACACAAAATGCATATGTATTTATTTATTGGCAGCTGCTGTTTATCCCACTCTGAGCTTAATATGACTGTCTTGTTTCCAAGATTAAGAAAATCATGAAAGCGAATGAGAAAATAACCAGCGATGCTGATCCAATGTGGTACCTGAAGTAAGCCGGGTTCATCCACACGGTTCCTGATTCAACCGCCGTGACTTCCAGCTTCGGATCTCATTTTTAAGCTAAATAATTTCTGCTCAGGTACCTGAACATCTACGTTGGGATGCCTGATGTCGAGGAGAGCTTCAACGTAACCAGACCGGTTTCTCCTCATGAGGTCAGCACAATATTTAAATGATTAGTTTGTTGTCAAATTCTTTAATGGGATAAAGATGAACTTAAATTTGTTTTCTGTTCTTTTTTTGGGGAGTTTTATCTTTAAAATGTTGACATGTCATAATCTTGGTGTGCTTTAATTTGTGTGAAATACAAAAGGATGTTAGAAGCAGCCAATGACGCTTGAAGAGTTGATTTATGGTAATCACAAAGTATGTTAAATCGATTGAGAGATGCTGATCAGGCAGAACAATATGAACACTTACAGATGAGATCAGTAACCCAGATTGTTTCCTCATCATTGTACCTGTTAGTGTTTAGGATAAATTAAGCAGCTGATGAGCATTTCATTGTAAAAGTGGATATGATAGAAGCAGGAGAAAGCCATAAAAAGCGCAGTGACTTTGAGAAGAGTTTTCTCCAAAACAGCAGCTCTTGTTGTGACAGTTGTGGCAGCTGTGATATAAAAAGGATATTATATTGATTATACTTTGTTCAGTTCTATTCAACATGTTGTGGTTTCATAATTTGTGGAAAATAAAGATAATAAAACTCAACCATATAAAGGTTTTGTGCTCAAATGTTATAAAAAGTGATGAACAATTTGAAGGAACTGTGGTTGGTGAAACGTGTCCCATGTGTTTGGTCAGTGTCGCCTCAGAGACATGACCTATTCGGCGCCGATCACGGTGGACATCGAGTACACTCGCGGCAGCCAGAGGATCATCCGAAACGCTCTTCCCATTGGAAGGTTTGGGCTCTCTTTTCTGTCACAGATTCCGCATGTTAAAATGTTTTCACAGACATGTTGAATTCTGCCCTCGTCAGGATGCCAATCATGCTGCGAAGTTCCAACTGCGTTCTCACGGGAAAGACAGCGATGGAGTTCTCCAAGCTGAATGAGTGTCCTCTGGATCCAGGTACAGTGTCAGTGCAGCCGCGTGGTGGAGACCGAGCGGAACTGACTGCAGACGTTCTCCCTTTGCCTCGCAGGAGGTTATTTCATCGTAAAAGGCCAGGAGAAAGTCATCTTGATCCAGGAGCAGCTGTCCAAGAATCGGATCATTGTGGAGCAGGACAGGAAGGGAGCAGTTGGAGCCTCAGTCACCAGGTTAAAATATAACTGTGCCATTTTATTAAACGAAAACCTCAGATCAGTACTTGGGTTCAAATAAAACTACAACTACATCTGAATATGAAGTTGAATATCATTGAAAAGTGAATCTCATCACACACACGCAGTGATATATTTCAAGTTTTTATTTCTATACATTTAGTTGATTATGCTTTACAGGTATTTATTTTCATAAAATATAAATATAACACAAATCCAATAAAACCTTCACTGTGGTTGAAATAAAGTAAAGTTGCCAAATGGAGTCGGCCGCAATCTCTCACAATCCGTAATAAAAAAAACTTGATTAGGTTTACAGGGGATTACTTTTCATATGGGGTAAAGTTGGTTTGGGAAGGTTTATTATTTCTAATAAATTAAATAATCTCCTTAATGGTGCCTTTTTGTTTTACTCTTTGGCAAAAGACGTCATCAACGGGGTAAATACTTTCACAGCTCTGTAGGTCTGAAGATGTGAAGGGAAGAAGTTAAATGTAGAAGTTGTATCATTCCAGTCCTGGGGTTCTGATTATTATTTTTTTCATTTATTTAAGGCTAAATTCTTCATTTGTAATCCCACTTTAAAGTATTGGGTAATGAAAAGATAACATTGTTATCATTCAGTGTATATGTGACAGAAATTGCACATTTTAGGTTGCTGAAGAGCTTGGAATTTGGACAATGTAGACGTATTTAAAATTTCTGCATTTTTGAATATCTGATCAATTTAATTCATAATTTGATTCATAAAAGTGCCACTGAAGCCTGATGTTTTCTATTCCAGCTCCACTCATGAGAAGAAAAGCAGAACCAACATGATAGTGAAGCAAGGCCGCTTCTACCTGAGACACAACACGCTGTCTGAAGACGCTCCCATCGCCATAATATTCAAGGTAAAATCTAGTTTTTAATGACACCGCTTGACCAGTAGAGGGTGCTACAATAAAGCCCAATAAATCTTCACTAAGTTATCTTTCAAGCGTATTGTTTTTATGCTTCATATGAGCCTTTGGTGTTATTGGTCTGTAGTTAAACAGCTTCAAGGCTTTGTGTTGATGGTGAAAATGTCAAAGGACAGCTGGTGTTGTGATCTCCAGCCGCCTTTGGGAAAAACCTCCTCAGACATGTTGTCTTGTGAGAGTGAAGTGTCGGGATCCACATGCTTGCCCAATCGCTTGTTTATCCTGTGCGACTCCTTCCTCCATCTCTCCGTCTCATGTCTGCCGTTCAAGCGGTCCGGTTCCCACAGCCTCACATTTCCATAAGCAAATGTCACACAAACTCCTGACTCAAAGTTCCCCTCTCAGAGCTTTCCTTTTGGCTCCTTGTTTCAGATATGATTCAAATCAACAAGGTCTTTCTCTTCTGAGGAAACGTAAAAATATATATTTTTAAATCATGCAGTGCATACTGCTCCCGTCTTATTTTCCTGTCTGGTTTGCATGTGCTCCCTGCAGGGTATGGGTGTAGAGAGTGACCAGGAGATCGTTCAGATGATCGGCACAGAGGAGCACGTCATGGCCAGCTTCGCTCCGAGCCTGGAGGAGTGTCAGAAAGCTCAGATCTTCACACAGACTCAGGTAATTCCTCCACAGGGCCCTGCAAATGTATTCATGCAACAGCCTTTTTTTACTTTTTACAATATAATGTTGCACAGTTGTAACTCAGTCAAGTTTATTTGTGGAGCACCTTTAAGTGGCAAGGTGCTTTACAAGGTACTTCCCATAATAAAAATACAAAATTACGACATCTTAAAGAAAACATCATACAGTCAACAACTGTATGTCAACAAACATGACAGTTTGATGAAATGTTTTTCACAACTTGAGCAACATTTTTGTTAAATGGATGAAACATCCATATTGACTCCTGATTTGCTCTCATTAGCTTCATCTGAAGATGCAAATATCTTTGTTCTGAAACACAAACACCTGCTAAAAGAAGATATTCAGTTTTTCATTTGATGAAAGCTTTTTTTTCCCCTCACCCAGTTAAGTAACACTTTTCAGATCCTTTCAGAAGCCCCACGTGTTTTCCCTTAACATCTAGAGATGAATGCAATCGGCCAATTTGTTTTTCATAAAGATTATGTTGTTAGCGGTTCCTCAGATGCATTGATGAGGGCATGTTTGGATCCTAGCAACCCCTTCGCCTCAGCCCTCATGCTTCTGTGCCTGCCAGCCTCTGTC